CTGTAAGTTATTTTAAATTCTTGGATTTGTGTAAAAAAGTGGTTGATTATTTTTAGGAAGTTGTATAAGGAATTTTCAATTCAATTTTTTCGAAAGTAATTTTAATATTCCTAAAGAAATCCACCTACCAGAACTATTTGTATGAACAGATTTTATTACATTTATGAACAAGAATCGAATCCAAATAAAGAATTTTGGTTATTCTCTTTCATTGCCATATTAAAAATTTTGGCCAGTGCCGTAGAGGTTCCATTTTATTTTCTGGGTTGGTCTTTGTAAATGTAACTACCCCCTTACAGTACATACAATGCGCTCCAATTAAAACCGACACAATTTTCTTACTATTAGAGCTACGAATTCGATTAATAGCATATATGCGATTGCTTATTAAAATCCAGGTGAGAATCGTGTTACTTAGGTATAGCATTTTTTTGAAAAGAACATCCTGTATATTTTTAGATTTTAGAAATAAAAATGAAATTCTGGATAATAACTTAATTTGGTCACCAAATTGATTGTGTTACCTTGAGTAGGTAGACCTCCATTGATTGCACCCCCAACACCGTTAATACCAATACCTTTACTTTTACTTCATCGAATGGATTTATCTTTACCCCTTGATGGTTAGAAATTCGACTTATTATTCCACCTATAATAAAGATGCATTTTCTAGTGCTTTTCATTTACACCCAAGTATGGAGAGTGCAGCCGAATAAAAAATAGACATCGTACAATCGGCGGGCATCTTTCTGGTATGTATTAAAGTAGTACCTACGTTTACTATGGTACACGTACGATAGCAATTTGCATGTAAAGGTTATTAATTTACTGCACTTCAACTGAGTATTTATAGCGTACATTGTTATTGCACATGCACGTAATCGTTTTATAGCTTTTAAAAATCTGCCAACGTGACTAACGTAAACGTATTACCCCATAGTCAACCAGCCCAAGAGATGGGAATGCGTGCAGTTTCCGGTAGGCAGAGGAAGACCTAACAATGCGAAGACCTTTACTATAATAAGTAAAGTAGTAATTACAATGAACTTGACACAATCAATAGGCGAAGGCCGAAGATCAATAGAAAAAGTGACATTACGCAACACTATGACTGTAGCCTAGGCAAGAGGCCCATAAGTTTTAATCGGGATAAAGGAATGAGGTAAAAGAATCATTTCTGAAATCATCATTAGACTGCGAAGCCGAAGAGCAATGACTTACAAACATTGACGTCAATGCGACCACGACCACCTTCCTTTTCTTTAAAACGCATGCAAATACCCGTTAACCTTAATTCCTTTGATAGGTAATTAGAATACTTTAAATTCATTAATCATAAGTTAAGTGTGTCTAACAGGATGATTACTAACATTTCAGAGTTTATTTTTAACTTTATCATTTTATTTGTTTATGTAAAAATAGATCAGGTAGACTTTTGTTTAAAAGGGGATCTTTTTGACCTTCACCTAACTCAATTAAATTATTACCTATATTAAAAGGTCGATTGGAGGATATATATTTATTGACAGCGATGGCGTTTCTGGAGTTTAGTCGTACAAACTTTCATGAACACGTCACGTTGTCATCATAATAGGAAACTATTCTATACCATTTCGATTATAAAAGAGATTGTGCCAGCGCTTCTTCCAATCCTCGAAACACTTCTGAAACTCGATCTTTGGAATAGCCTTTAGCTCCTTCAGCGATGCGGTTTTCATCTATCGCTTGTGAAACGACGGCCCTTTAAGAGTTTTAAGGATTTTTTGGAAATGTTTCGTCACTTGTTATAACACGTTTCAGTACTTCTGCATCACCGTTGTCTTCATTTAGTGACCAAGCAACTTTCATCGCCGCTATTTTTGCAGCTTTTCTAGATCCTCTTTACACCTTTACATCTTTATTTCTCCGGGAATTTTCCTCTTACAAGGGTTGAAAGTCCCACTTGCATTATAGTTATTTATGCATCAAGGGCATTAAGGTGATATTTATGCCGAGGGCGACAGAGCCCGAGGGATAAATATTGAGTAATGCCTGAGGTGCATACAACATTTTATTTTTCATGGTTCCAAAGAATGTCATTCTTTTTCTTAAGCTCTAAGGTGTCTTTTTTAACTTGATTTGCTTATCAGGTTGCCATGGAAGATACAATGATAGTCTGATTTAATCAAAAACATGCAAGATGCTCTAGATTTTGCGTTTTTTGTAATTTTCTCATATGCTAAAAGGAATATCTAGATTTTTATTTCAGAAAAGGTGGTTTTGAGACAAGCAAAAATTTTTATAAAGAATTACATTTTTGCGTAGTTAAAATTAAAAATTTTTTCCCTCTTGTTCAGTCCATCCGGGGACACACTGTATAATAGGCAAATGAAAAATAAAATAAATTTTGTTCCTTACGGCCCTGCTAAAAATTTTACTGTAACAATGTTTTTTTCGTGTTTTTTTTAATATTTTAATTCTCCTAGACTAGCTACACGTATAACAAAGTTGAAAATTTTAAAATCTGCATTCGTTCCCGAGATATCGCGCTGTCCTATTCCTCGCTGAACACAGTGTACATAAAACAACAAAGTCTTGTATGTTACACTCCTCAAGAGCGGTTGGACCGATTTTCATGATCTTTATTGATTTGTTGAATTCGTCTCCGGCTCGAATAGTAGAATATCTATTAAAATATCGAAAAAAAACACGAAAAAACAAAGAACATTATTGGAAAAGTAAATAAGGGGACTTAGGTGGAGTGGGCCTTTTACATTTTTTAGTGACTTTCCATAGGCTATGTTCATCAGAGGATAGTTTTTGAATGTATGCTTCAAAGATGGAGTTTTGAGCTTCTTTTAGTGCTGCAGTAAGTTGTCTAGATAATCTCCTGTAATACTGCAAGTCTTCCAAGTGGCGTGATCTCTGCCATAGTCGTCTGGCTCTTCTTTTTTCGCTAATTAGTTGTAGGATGTGAAGCGGAATGTCTTTGGAACTGGTCTCTAGGGGTTCGAAACGGGGAGTCGATTGCCACGCAGCTTTTTGCAGCAGAGTCGTGAGGTACTGTACAGCTTCGTCTAGATCTACTGAGTCTTTGATTCTTATGTTAAAATTAATGTGATGAGTAATGTATTCAGCGAATTATGCCCAATCGGTCTGTTATATGTAGTCAGCGTTGGGTTCGTATGTTTATTTATGATGGTGGTGCATAGGTTGAGGATAACAGGGGTGTGGTCGGATGACAGGTCGAAGTTCGATGTAGTTAAACAGTTTTGCGTTGGTATACCTCTAGTTATGTAGAAGCCTAGGAGGTCTGGGAGTTTCCTTGTATCCGACGGCCAGTACGTGGGCTCTCCGCTGGAAAGGTGAGTATAGTTGTTAGCAGTTATGGCTCTGAGGAGGTTGCGACCCTTGGTGGTAACGAGCCGGGAGCCCCAGTGGGCGTGCTGTGCGTTCCAGTCTCCTCCTGAGATAAAACGATTACCAAGAGTGTGAAAGAAGGCTATATATTCGTCATAGGTGATGGTATGGCGTGGTGGACAGTAGACAGCAGATACATTCAAATTTCGCCCTTAACCTGGACATCGGTAGCTTGAATCTCATGAGTTTGGTAGTTAGCTATTTCATGATGAGGTACGGTATTTTTGATTAGGATTCCTGAACCGCCATGAGCCGTGCCATCAGAGTGGATACAGTGATAGAATGAATAGTGCGGTGTGTGGAAGGCTGTGCGTGTGCGTTCGGTAAAGTGGGTTTCAGATATTAGGAGAATGTCAATTTTGTTTCTTTGTAAAAAGACTATTACTTCTTGTTTGTGATTGAGGAGCTCGTTGGCATTCCACGTTACAATTCTGAGAAAGCAAATTCAAAATCATGCTCTTCTGATGTAATATCTGAGCGAACATAGCCTTAAATTCATTTAAGAATACAGTTAGGTGTTCTCCTATGTCAGCCGACTGCTGTGGGGAAGGTGTACTTCGTTCTGTTGACTGCTTGGGCGTAGGTCTGAGGTTGATTAAGAGTCGTGAGCGTGTTGAGAGATTTAGATATAGTGGGTTGGGTTTGCGTATCGGAGTAGTTTATATGTGTGGAATTGTTGGGAAATCTTCTGTTGCCTGATTTCTGAGTAATTAAGTCTTTATAGACTCTGCAGCCCTTATATAGTTTACCGGGTGGTCGCCTAAGCAAAGAGCGTACTTTGCAGGCGAGTTTCTAGTTTTTTGGCAGTTTATGGAATCGTGGCGGTTCCCGCACCTTACGCATTTAGGTGGCCGGTTGCAGTAGGACTTGGAGTGACCATACTCTTGGCAACGCATACATTGGACTATATCTCGTCTTTTCTTCGGAGCTTCTACTGTTATTTTGGTATTATTGATATAACTTAGGTCAAATATTGCTGTATTTTGGTTGTGGTCGAGGTTGTGGTTCGAGGTCGATGTATGGAGCCACAGATTTAATGAGTATATTTAAATCTGTGATGGAGCTTTGTTTCCCACGTCCATAAGGTTCGTGATACGTGGTAGCATATGTGTAGGGTGCGTAGATACAAAGTGTTATCAAACGTGATTGTTCAGAGGATTGATCTTTCTAACGTAAAGAAACATTTCAAACTTGGTGCCCTATACATTAACGCATTGGAAACTACTTCATTATTATTCCATTAAGTCAATGCGCACCTATTTCAGGGGAAATTGGAGACAATAACGAATTCATCTACATAACAACAATAATAACAATCGAATATGTACTACACCAGTTTTTAAAGGTTGAATTGCATGACTTGGAGCGAGTCGGGAAAACGCATAATTTGAAAATAAGTGGTTTGTTTAAATAAAAACGTAGTATACAGTTGAATAATCACGGTAACAGGTGGGAGTGTTCATTGACGCAAACCAGTTAATTTAAATCAGACGTCAGTAGTGAATTGAAATGGGAATTGTATATTTAACAATCGTGGGTGGAACAATTGCCGTGGCCTTTAAGTATGACTAAATTGCGAATATAAATAAACAAGCCCTTACCTTAATCCTCTCTTTAATCGGTTCGCATGTAATTTCCGTATCCTCATCTCCGCTGAATGTTGAACAAGTGGAGCAATCAGAAAGCTTTCTGAACGGTGTTCTTAAAATATACTCTGCGTCCAAATTGCTAATAGTCGAACCACAGTAATTTAGATTGCTACAGGAACTGTGTACGCTGGAATCCGGTGAGGATGTCACCTCTCTTCTTTGATTTCGAAAGAACTCAATGTCTTCCAAGGAAAGACCGACCACGTCGTCAGAATAGTCGCTAACCACAACCGAGGGTGTACGCCAAAACCGAAACCGCGGCGGTTCCTCACCTTCATCCGTAAAACAACTCGGTCTCCGACTGTCACCACCGCCCTTCTCATCACCACCCTCATTACATTCACTACCACAAACACTGCCCTTTCGGTCTAACAGGTACGGAACAAATTTCGCCTCTATCAACGTTTTTGAAGGAACATTTATATGGTCAACTGAACCGCGTGGACTGTACGGACTTTTAATAAAAGGATAATGAAGAACGTCATCTTTCTTATCAAACGTGGGTGAATTCTCATCGTCACTTTGATTTAGTCCAACCGCCGAATCCGTACTTCCACTTCTACGCAACCGGGGGTACTTGAACCAGCTTTTCTCCCTTTCGTCATCGCTGCCCGCCGATGCAGAAGAACTACAATAACCGCTGGGTGGAGGCGCAAGGAATGTCTCGTCAATTCCAGGAGAGTCCGTACTGTCTCTGCCACAGACAAATTTCTCCTTTTTAGCTGTTATACGTGAACTATCCCCTGTCGGTTTATTAACTTCTTCCAACATCGCCATGTACTTCTCGCGTAGGTCCTTCACGCTTACAAAAACCTCGCCTTCTTGCGTAAGTTCTTGCTCTAGCTCGAAGACCCCGATGCGACGGTTTCTTTGTTTATACGCGCTCGTTTCCGATGCGGTTAGTTGCGGGTTGACATCAGGTACGTCGACTGTTGCACCTGGAGGATCGCATTTTTTACTATCGGAAATGTATTCTTGCGTGGAAATGCCTGCGGTAACTGGTTTTGCCATCTGTTCGGTGCTGGACTCACCAGCATGTAGCTTCCTATAATACGTACTGTGCTTCTCGGCTTTAATTTGAATTAAATTTTTCATTTCCTCTTCCGTTTCCATTATTAATTTAGATCCAATTCGACTAGATTCACTAAAATTATTTTCACGCGTCACGACGCGGTCGATAGTTTCATAGGCGCGATTATTAAAAACACTTTCACTCGAATCGGCCCTTACGATTTTGTTCACCTGTCCGCGATACGATTCGGGTTGGAAGTCGAGAAGACGGAGGTAGTCTTTCGTTGGTGTTGGTGCGTAATTCAGCCCGCCGATAATCCAAGGGGGTGTAATTTTATCCTCCTCTAACCGGCGGGACCACAGACCAGTAAAGCTAAAATTAAAACATTACATTTAATACACGGTTCAACATTAACAGATAAGAATAATTGTTGTGACCACGCGCGCCGTCTTTTAAAATCCGCCACAAATTACAACATACACATATTATAAAACGCGAGCCATTACTTTATCTACCAGCGCAATCGCCCTCTTCATTTATTTTATAGTATAGTAATTGCCCATAACGCATCTAAGTGTGCACTAAAGCAGAACGGAAGATTCTAATTATATACATTATATATAAAAACCTTTGGGTCTTATAAAATCAAATATCTTACGTGAACATATTTCTAATAGATTTTGAGTTTCATAGACATTTAACGCTTCTATCACGTCGACGTCGCTTCTTTGTAAGGCGAAATTGCAACTTAAGCCAATGATGGCCCCCCTTCTATTTATTTATCAGTATCATTAATGTTAAATAAATTGTTTACTGTATAGCCCTGAGAAATTCCGTAATCTGATAATAATAATTGTTGTTAGTACTTGTGATTTCTTTGTCCTTCTCGAGGTCCTTCTGTATGCAAAATAAATGTGAGTTTTTTTTGATAAGTAATGTGAGAACTTTGCTAGATATTCTGACCTAATTGTATTTCGAAAATGGCTCCCAAAATTATTTACATTATTGCCCGTGTTACGTGTTACCAATCAAAAGCATACATACTTACAATGTTCATATGCATCTTTTAAATTGACCACATCAAAGCATTAGCATTTTAGATCAGATCAGAACTAGCATCTATCGACCAATGTAACTGAGGGCGAAGAGTAGTATTATCTTTGCTAAAGGTTACGACATATAGTGCTTATTTTCTGATCCTAACGGTTGGTATGGTTTGTTTAGAAAATTTAGTCCTATATTGGTTACCTACATTTCTTAAACGATTGCCCATATCAACTCGCCATATGCTACCTACTTAAGTTGGCAAAATTATCTAATGTGGTCCAATTTAAAAGGAAGCATAGGGGAATATCTCTGTTGTCAGTCAAATCTTAAATTCAACTAAGAACAAAGGCAATCAAATGGAAAAACCGTGGCATTCCGAAAACCCGAGGTTCGTCATTCCACCCGGTTCCTACGCAATGAAGTGAAATTTGGTGCATTAAGAAATGAGTTACATAATAACTTTAATTACATCGTCTAATAGTCCAAAAAGGTGGTGTAGTCATTTTTGTATATGTTGTTGAGGTCTGGGGCTTGAAACAAAACCCTTGTTTTTGACCTTGGGAAAGAACCATTTGCACCGCCATCTTGGATGAAAGTACAGAAAATCGATTTCAAAATAACTCCGCAGCGGTGGATCTTACAAAAAAAATGATTCAAATGAAAACAAAACTCCTTACATTTTTTAATAACCTTTTTTTTGTACTTCTAGTATGTTCCGAGTTACAGTGGCGGAAATATGAACATTTTCGTCAAACAATTTCAGGACGGTAAATTTCGTGCACTTCTTTTTAATGTTTTTTTCTACACCACAATAAATCCCGTCTAACTTCGATGCTAAACAAAGAAAATGGAACAGGCAGAAGAAGAGGCTGGCATAGTTGTTGAAAGATTATATTACGCCAATGGTTTGAAACATGAAAAAGTGTCTGAGAACATTCTGTTTCACCATGCGTTTAGTCATTTAGTGGCGGCGGCACGACAGTAGTAAAACATGGAAGAATGCGTTTTTGGTGCTGTTTACATAGGATTACAAAACATATACATAAGCAATCCAAAATGACTTTTGGCCCCCGTAAGTAGGCAACACTGTATTACATAAGTCTCCATGGACATATATGATACGCCCATATTTAATATTGTGTACGTAGGTGTGTAGAAGTTGTGGGCAAAGTGCAAGTAAGGGTACTTTCGAATAGGAACTTATATTTTTTCGATTTTGTATGTTATTGATGTTGGGTGAGTGGTCCATACGGTCTTGACTTTTTAAATGTGCTTGAAAACTTAAGGCACATGTAAGTCGTGGGATACAACGTGATTGTCTCAGGTTAAGGAAAAATTTTGTGTGTTGCGGTTGTCGTTATACTGCGTCGTGTGGGGTTTGTAGAATAGTTAGTCTAAGAACGGTTGCCAATCTAAATAAGTAGGTGTCGTATAGTGGAAAGTTGATTGGTCTGAGATAACCGTTCGGGCATTCGCGTACTACGTATAAATTAGCGCAATGTTTTTATATTCTGGTTTGACACATTAGTAATCGAGAGCCTGTATTATATTCGGAGAAATTTCGTGTTAATCCGGTAGTTAAGTACGTATAAAACAAATGTAAAAAGGTTTAAACGGACAATTTAAAGTTTTGGTGACCCTCAATTACATGGGATAATTTGCGTAGTAGAAACGATTACAGTAAATATCAGGAAGAGTGAAAGTTTTCTATTTTATTTCATGTTGTAATTCTTCGTACGTCTGAAGCGGTTGATTGGGTATACACTTGAACTGGCAGCCAAAGGTGCCATTCATTATACGAAACCTATGAATTTGTGCCTTTTTATGAGGTAGGTCTATCGTTTAGATCGATCAGTATTTCGAGATTAGACGAGCAAGGGATATGATGTATAATTAAGGTAACTATTTTATTGTATAAAAAAATGATCAAAGTCCTCGTGTGAGATCGAAGGGACTTCAGCGCATTTTTGTGTGGCAGATCAGTGTTTTATTAGCCAATATTGACTCCACCACCAATAAGATCTTGCCGAAAGCTACCACGTTCACTTTGTCGGTACCATTTTCTCACTTACCGTGCACTCGCAATTCGCGTTTGAAGTTTCGACTCCACCATATCAGTAAGATCTCGTCGGGGGTTACCACATTCCCTTTGTCGATACACAGTTCCGACGTCCCGTTCATTCGTAATTCACATTTTGGTAGATTTCGCTAAAATCCCGGCATAAAATCGTATTCAACTTTTGGGTACTTCACATAGCTCGACCTTCTATTAGTGACACGAGAAAGAGAGACCGCGATTCGCGCTGTAAGAAACTTTTGGGCGCCCAAAGTCGACTACCCCTCGAAGCGCGCCGCGCAAAAGGTGGTTTATTTCGCCCCTAGGAAAAAAAAACAAAATTCCGCCACGCAGGAGTTGTGCGCGTTGACAAGATCTTCCCGACGACACCAATTTGAAAACAATCGGAGAAAAACTGTAGAAGAAGATAGATAAAAACTGAAAAATCTCCAGGTTAGTATAATACGCTCGGTGATGGCGTCCAGATGTCGTCTACTCCAAATCTTGTAGCCCCATCCCTAACGTTCTTAATTACACGGCCCCGATAGTTACATGTACACTCCTTGTCTTTTTACAAGCGTTTTTCTACGGGCGCGCATTTACTGCCAGCCAGCCAGCCAGCCGACCAGCCAACCAGCCAGCCAAAGTGAGATTAAAAGCTACTTTTTAGAAAAAAAATTTTTGCAAAAATGCGCTAAAAATTAAAGTTGTAAAGAAAAGTTAACCAGTTTTTTTTTAATTCAAATGTCACGGTGGCTACTACGAGTATTAAAAACGTTGCAAAAATCAGTAAATATATGATCATCTTGGCTGTTCATGGCCTTAATGTAACTTGCGTAAGTTCCATTAGTGGATTTATTTTGCTGAACATCCTCTCATATAACATTTTTCAGGTGAGAATAACAGAGCCACTGGCCTTCAGTTTTGAATCACATTTTTAGGACCTATGAATCAAAAATTCTATTTAGTTGCGGTGATTTATTAAATACTATTTGTTGAATGGGCATAAGAATTTATTTGCATTCCTTAAAAAGGCATGAGGAGACGCCATCTCTTAGGTTTACTTTATTTTTTATAATAGCTCATACATCTATTTCTTTTTACGAAAAATTTGTTATACTACATTTCACACGGGACCCGCGGCGTCCCTAATATGATGGAATTTTGAATAGTCGCAATAGGAATATCGCAAAGTTTCAATAAAAGTTTTCGCAAGTGTAAAGCTTTTATTGAAAGAAGTTAAATGCATGCTCCATTCGTATAATCGAAAGAGGTTGTTATTCCATAGCCTGAAAATTCAATTTGTTTACTTGGAATTTGCGCTATAGTTCTTGGAAGGTGAAGATCGCGAATTTTGTCTAAATTATAAACTCAGTTGCGAGTTAATAAAAGGGAACGTCTGTTTGTTTAGAATAATGCCTTTCAGACGATTTGTTTGAAACTAATCTCAATAGAAAATTTAATTTGGGTGTCAGATAATCTCTTTACACGTGGCGTGTGTTCTACCTAGCTGGCGTCTATCTAATACGGTTTGTAAGAAAGGTAGGTGGAATGTTTGTGAATTATGTTGAGGCATGTAATGTAACTGTGTATTTTTGTTTAAAAACTTTCCCAATAATATCTTAAGCAACAATTTGTAGATAATCCAAAACTTTACATCAAATAAAAAATTCTCACCTGAAATTCGTCTGATACTCTACCACAATGCGCCAAAAGGCAGTCAAGACTGATACAACCACAAAACAGCACAAAATAAGCAACAAAAAACAAATTACTGTTCGTCTTCTCAGAGATTACGAAACTTTTAATTTATAATAAAGAATTAGCAAGGATTTTAAATGACCATTTCATGTACCTACATCATCACAGGAACGCCACGTAAAAAGTGTGGGATATACTTTTCTTATAATATTGGTGAGAGAATCCAAACATAAGACAAAGAAAGGCAAATAATATATCACCTACATATTCCCATGCTCGCAAACAACAGAAACTGTCAAAAATGGCAGGAGGCATGATTTTGAAAAAGCAACAAACGTACCAGGAGCGGATTGGAACGCTTAACTGAATTTGTTATAACAAAAATGACAAAAAAAAAATTTAGCTAGAAAACTTGCCTTTTGATTCGACTCATGCACAATGGCATTGATCCTTGGACGCGTAAAAACCGCCGGGCAAACACACAAGGGATTTTTTGTTTTCAAAAAATTATTAATTATCATGCTTCAATATGGTATTCCCTTTCTGGTGAGAAGTAACTTAACCATGA